ACATACCAGGCATGAAGAGCAATTTGCTCAGTATAGGGCAGTTGGTCGAAAAGAATTATAAAGTGTCAATCGAAGATAAGTTGATGAGAGTCGTTGATGCAAATGGGAGATTAATCTTGAAGGCTCCTATGTCTCAAAATCGAACCTTCAAGATTGAACTAAATGTGATGGAGCCACAAGTGCCTTTCGACTGCAGCTAGCAGGAGATGAATGGATATGGCATTATAGACTTGGTCATCTCAACTTCAGAGACATCAGAGATTGAAGAGAAGAAATATGGTTTCAGGATTGCCTGAAATTGACATTCCAAACGAAGTATGTGAAGAATGTGTGCAGGCGAAGCAACACAAGAACAGCTTCAGCAAGGATGCAGGAAGCAGATCGAAGTTGCTTAGTCTCGAAGTCATATACTCTGATGTATGTGGACCAATTCAGGTGGATTCGATGGGAGGTAACAAATACTTTGTTACATTCATAGATGATTTCAGTCGAAAGTTATGGACTTACCTGATCAAGAAGAAAAGTGAAGTGTTCGAAGTATTTATCAAGTTCAAGTCCATGGTCGAAAGACAAAGTGGTCGAAAGCTCAAAGTTTTGAGAACTGATGATGGAGGAGAATATGTGTCGAAAGATTTCGACAGATTATGTGAAAAAGAAGGGATTGTGCATGAGGTGGTGCCACCCTATACTCCACAGCAAAATGGAATTGCAGAAAGGAAAAATCGAACCATCATGAACATGGTGAGAAGTATGTTGAAAGGCAAGAATTTACCCAAAGAGTTCTGGGGTGAAGCTGTTTCGACTGCAACATACATTTTGAACAGAAGTCCTACAAAGAAGCTAGAAGGAATTACTCCAGAAGAATGTTGGTCTGGTGTGAAGCCTAGCTTAAGTCATCTGAAAGTATTTGGATCTATTGCACATAGACATGTGCCAGATCAGTTGAGAAAGAAACTTGATGACAAGTCAAGTCAAATGATCCTAGTTGGATATCATTCGACAGGAGGCTACAAGTTGTTCGATCCAGAGAACAAGAAGATTGTGATCAGCAGGGACGTGATCATAGATGAGTTCAAAGAATGGGATTGGACTGCAAATGTCAAGAAAGATTCAGTGGGAATCTTATTCGAAGAGCCAGAAACTCAAGTCGAAAGAGAAGTTCGACAAGAGGAGCCAGCAGATATACCTAGTACAAGCAGACCTCAAAGAACAAGACGCATGCCTGCAAGATTGCAAGATTGTGTGATTACATCAGATGATGTAATAGATGATGAAGGTGAGCTGGTACATTATGCTTTCTATGCAGATGTCGAACCTGTTAATGCAGCTGAAGCATTAAAGGATTCGAAGTGGGTGAAAGCAATGAACGAAGAAGTAAAGTCTATCGAAGACAACAACACTTGGTCACTTGTCAAATTGCCTCAAGGCAAGAAGGCAATTGATGTCAAGTGGGTATACAAAGTGAAGACGAATTCGAAAGGAGAAGTAACTCGACACAAAGCAAGACTTGTGGCGAAAGGATTTCTACAGAAAGAAGGAATAGACTTCGACGAAGTTTTTGCACCTGTTGCTAGGATCGAAACAATCAGGTTAGTTGTTGGTCTAGCAGAAATCAACAGTTGGCACATATGTCAGATGGACGTGAAGTGTGCATTCCTAAATGGACCCTTAGATGAAGAAGTCTATGTTAAACAACCAGTTGGGTTTGTGAAACATGACGAAGAAAGAAAGGTGTACAAGCTACATAAAGCCCTGTATGGTTTGAAACAAGCTCCAAGGGCTTGGAATAAGAAAATTGATAGTTTTCTAAGGGAGAAGGAATTTGAGAAGTGCATAACTGAACATGGAGTATATGTAAGAAGAAGCAAGAGTAAATTGCTTATACTATGTCTCTATGTAGATGATTTGTTGATAACAGGTAGCTGCAAGAGTGAGATCGAAGACTTCAAAGTTGATCTTAGCAAGGAATTCGAAATGTCTGATTTGGGTGAGATTTCATATTTCCTTGGTATCGAATTCCACAAGAGCAGTAGAGGTTTGATGATGCATCAAAGAAGATATGCAGGAGAAATTCTCAAGAGGTTTGAGATGGAAGAATGCAACTCAACTTCGACACCTGCAGAACCAAGACTGCAACTGTCGAAAGATGCAGATGAAGATGATGTTGATCCAACCCAATACAGAAGACTTATTGGATCATTGAGATACCTTTGTCATACAAGGCCTGACTTAGCATACAGTGTAGGTATGGTAAGTAGATTCATGCAGAAGCCAAAGGTATCACATCTAGCAGCTGTGAAGAGGATACTAAGGTACCTCAAAGGAACTTTCGATTATGGCATTCTGTTTCCTGCAGTTGATAAAGGAAAAGAATGCAAGCTAGTGGGATACACTGATTCGAGTTGGTGTAGTGATGCTGAAGATCGAAAGTCAACAGCAGGATATGTGTTTATGCTAGGTGGTGCAACAATTGCTTGGAGTTCGAGAAAAGAACCAGTAGTAGCATTATCATCATGCGAAGCAGAATACATAGCTGCTTCTCTTTGTGCATGCCAAGCAACCTGGATGGTGAACTTGGTCGAAGAGATAACAGGGAAAAATCATGGAGCAATTACCATGAAGATAGACAGCATGTCAGCTATCAATCTGACGAAGAACCCAATAGCACATGGTCGAAGTAAGCACATCGAAATGAGGTTCCATTATCTTCGAGAGCGGGTAGCAGATGGGAAGATGAATTTGGAATACTGCAGAACTGAGAATCAGATTGCAGACATCATGACGAAGGGAGTGCAGGTCGAAGTATTCAGAAAACTAAGGGCCATGATGAACATAGACAGTTTAGACACAATGAATTAGGTGGTGTGTTAAATTGTAATTCATAGGTGTCAAAATAAGATTTGATTTGTTTAGATTTAAATAGATTTGAATTTAAATCTAGATTAGATTTGATTTAGTAAAGAGATATTTTGGGCTTGGGTTTAGCTTAGGGAGCAAGCTAACCTAAATCTATAAATAAGAGGGAGTAACCTTTATTTTGTATTCAAGTCATTGAACTCATTCACATTATTTTGCAGTTGCAAAGTGAATTAATAAAGTTTCCACAGTTTGTGGGCAGAATAGAAATTCTGCAGAAATATCTCCATTGTTATTTTATTTGTTTGTTTCATAACTTATCATCAAGTGGTGGTCGAAATTCATCATAGTGTATTGGTGGATTTCCAACAAAGTTTTCATATTCTTCAACCTCGGAGTCCTAATTTAAACAAATACATAAATCCGTTAATTCTCCAATCAAATTTCAATTGAAATATGAAAATATGAACTGTTCTTTGATTCGTTTTCATAAAGATCTCAAACAGCATCAAATGTTGTTCCTATCAATGCCACAAATATCTCATTCAATTTGATGAACTATCCTTAATCTTTCACCACTTACATTGTCTCCGATTTCAAACATAATCAAGAAAAACAAACACTCAACAATGAAACAACAACAACAGTGAATCAACTGCAAATTGCATCAACATTGACTTCGACGCATAAACTCAAACACCGACATCACTTCGACGCGTCAATTCCGCATCAGCAATGAAAATGAATATTCAATGTTGATTTGGAAATGTCAAGACACAATATTCTTAATTAGATAATTAATAATAATAATAATAATTATTATTATTATAATAATAATAATAATAATAGTAATAATTATTATTAATAATAATAATAATAATAATAATTATTATTATTATTATTAATAATAATAATAATAATAATTATTATTATTATTATTATTATTATTATTATTATTATTATTATTATTATTATTATTATTATTACTATTATTATTATTATTACTATTATTACTATTATTATTATTATTATTATTATTATTATTATTATTATTATTATTATTATTATTATTATTATTATTATTATTATTATTATTATTATTATTATTATTATTATTATTATTATTATTATTATTATTATTATTATTATTATTATTATTATTATTATTATTATTATTATTATTATTATTATTATTATGATGTTATATAAGAGTAGTTTGGTAATTCTTAACATGTAATATTTATACATATTTATACTCTCGTGTAATTTTTAGTTTTTACTCATTCTATTTAAACTCTAAACTAAAAGGTTTTTTCCTTCTCTATATTTCTATGTGTTTACTGTTATTAATATAGTATTAGAATTCTATTTAATTTCGGAAACTACTCTAAAGTGGATCAACAATATTTTTTTTTTTTTGTGATTTCAATTGGAAGTTCTACTATTCGTATCAGGTGAATTGGTTATGTGATTGAAAAATAAAAAGGTGAACGGTGAATTGGCTTTACAATTTGCGATTCGTATCAGATATTGGTGAAATACGTGATTTGGTGAATTGGCTTTATGGTTCTAAATTCAATCTCTAATTCATATTAGATATAAAAGGCTAGTTGTTTGGTTGGTTCACGTTAACAAAAAAAAAAAAGGAAAATGTGAAGGTACCAAATTTGTTACGGTTTCTTTTCTTTGAAGATTTGATACTTTGTTTAATTATTGTGGTTTGGTTATACCATAATTTAATAAGTAATGATAAAAATGATTCTCTTCAGTCGGTTAGTGTCCAACTCAGTGGAGAAAATTATTTTTATTGGAGTTATGTAGTAAGAAATTTTTTTGAAAGGAAAAAGGACGTAGAGTTATGTTGATGGAACCTCGATTAAATCTACCGATAAAAAGGATTAAGCAAAATATGCAAAAGAGTTGGAAACATAAGATGTTAGTAATTCAAAGATCCTTAATTGGTCAATAATTCTGTTTCTCAATCAATAGGTGTGCAACTAGCAAAATATGACACTGCTAAGGAGGTTTGAGACTATTTGAAACGTTTGTATGCTCAATCTAATTTTGCAAAACGCTATCAGCTAGAGAGTGATATTGGAGATCTCAAACAGAATAATATGACCATTCAAGAATTCTATTCAGCGATGACTAATTTATGGGATCAATTGGCTCTTATGGAATCGACTGAATTGAAAGTTGTCAAAGCGTACACCAATCAAAGAGAAGAGCAGCGGTTGGTTCAATTTCTGATGGCACTTAGGGATGATTTTGAGGGCCTTCGTGGGGGTATTCTGCATCGTAATCCTCTTCCAAGTGTTGATTCAGTTTTCAATGAATTGTTGGCATAAGAAATCAGACTCAAGTCCCACTCTAATTTGATTTCAGATAAAGGAGTTCTCTCCACTCCTCAATCTGTTTTTGTTGCTCCATCTTACAAAGGAAAACCTCAAGGTAGGGTTGGGCTTGGTATTGATGAATGTGTTTTTTGTAAGGAGAAAGGTCATTGGAAAACACAATGTCCCAAGTTGAAAGCATGTAAGAAAAACTTTAAGAGACCATCATCCAATGTTGTTGTTGCTGCTTCTACTACCATTGGCTCTGGTTCTGATCATGCATATACATCTGAGACCACTTCTCAAATATCTGATATTGCAGAGCAGCTCCAAAATCTTCTTGTTACTAAGCCACATACCATGTATGCTTCCTCAATTAAAGGTTTGAATTCTTCTTATTTGTCAGGTATATCTCCTTCCACGTGGATTCTAGACTCATGAGCATCATACGATATGTAATATAATGTTAATATCATTTGTGTCTTTAAATACTGCATCATCTATGTTAGTTATGACTGCTGATGGCACTCATATGCCATTAGTAAACATTGGTTCTGTCTCCACACCTAATTTGTTATTTTCTGATGTTTATTATATTCCTAACCACACTTTGAGTCTTGCTTCTGTTAGTCAATTATGTGTTTCTGGTTACTCAGTTACGTTTTCTTCCACTTTTTGTCATGTGAAGGATCCTCATTTCGGGAGGCTGATTGGGACAGGTCGTAGACAAGGGGGACTTTATGTTTTGGATGAGTTGAGAGTTCCAGATACTTCAGCCTCAACCTCTAGTTCCACAACTAATTTATTATCCTCTTTTCATTTGAATTTTCCATCTTCTAGTTTTTATTTATGGCATTACCGTCTTGGACATGTCTCTGCTTCTAGATAAAAGTATTTGGCTTCTACTGGAGCTTTAGGAAAGTTTCAAACCAGTGATATTTCAGATTGTTGTGGTTGTAAACTTGCTAAATTTTCAACTTTACCATTTAGTAAAAGTGTTTCCATTTCATATGCATCGTTTGATTTAGTTAATTCTGATTTATGGGGTCCATCACCGCTTCTTACTAAGGGAGGATCTAGATATTATATTTTATTTATTGATGATTATACTCGTTATTGTTGGGTTTATCTTATGAAAAATTGTTCTGAGTTTTTTGACATTTACTATATGTTTCGTGCTATGGTTAAGACACAACATAATGTTGTTATAAAGTGCTTCCGTTGTGATTTAGGTGGTGAGTATACATTTAATAAATTCTCTAAATTGCTTGCTTTTAATGGTAAAAATCATCAAACATCTTGTAATGATACTCCTCAACATAATGGAATTGTTGAAAGAAAACACTGTCACATTATTGAGACTGCCCGTTCTCTTTTGTTGTCTGCTTCGGTTCCTAGTGAATTTTTGGGTGAAGCATTTCTTACCGTTGTTCATGTTATTAATAGAATCCCATCGTCTTTCACATCAGGTTTGTCTCCCTTTGAAAAAATTTATAATTCTATCCCGAATTATTCCTCTTTGAAAGTGTTTGGTTCTACTTGTTTTGTTCTTCAACCACAAGTAGAGCGTAACAAGTTATCTTCTCGTTCTGCTATATGTGTTTTTCTTGGTTATAGGGATGGTCAAAAGGGTTATCGTTGTTATGATCCTGGTGCAAAGAAATTGCATATTTCTCGTCATGTTGTTTTCCTTGAACACATTTCTTGTTACTCTGTTTCTTCTGATTCTCATATTACTAGCAGTTCAAAACTCACCCATATTAATCCTTTTGGTCATAATGATAATGTTTCTGATGATTGTAATTTTGAGAATTGCAAGATTGATACTAATTTTACTCTAGATACTGATATCCCTCTTGTCCCCATGTCCACCCAAGAACCTCATGCGATTGTTGATCCTCCGCCTCCTTGTTACCCATCTTGTGATCGTAAGTCTACTCAATTGCCTGATTTTGTCTGTTCCACTTACTCTGCTTCTTTTGCTACTTTTCTAACCTCTATCCACAGTTTGTCTGAGCCCTCTTCCTATAAAAAGGCTATTCTTAACTCTCTTTGGAAGCATGCTATGACAGAAGAACTTTCTGCTTTGCATAAAACTAGTTCTTGGGAATTAGTACCTCTTCCTCCCGGAAAATGTGCTATTGGGTCTCGTTGGATATACAAGATCAGAACTAAGTCTGATGCGTCAGTTGAGCGCTACAAAGCACATCTTTTTGCTAATGGATTCTCTCAACAATATGGTATGGATTATGAAGAAACTTTTGCTCCTGCTGCTAATATGACTACTATTCACACTCTTATTGCAGTTGCATTTGTTTGTTAATGGAATATTTCTCAAATGGATATTAAAAATGCATTTATAAATGGTGATCTTCAAGAGGAAGTTTATATGGTACCCCTATAAGGTGTTTCTCATAATCAAGGGGAAATGTGTAAGTTTAATAAAGCATTATATGGTCTAAAACAAGCTCCATGAGCTTGGTTTGAGAAGTTTACCACTGTGATTACATCTATTGGCTTTTTCTCTAGTGATTATTATTCTGCTATGTTTGTCAAGACCACTTATCATGGTTGTATTTTACTCTCATTATATGTTAATGGTATGATTATTACTAGTGATGATATGGATGGAATTAATGATTTGAAATTACAGTTAGCCAAATAGTTTGAGATGAAGGACTTAGACACTCTTCGGTACTTCTTGGGCATTGAAGTAGCTTACTCTACTAGAGGTTATCTTATCTCTCGATCCAAGTATATTACTAACATTCTTGAACATGCTCGCCTTTCTGACACTAGAGTAGTAGATAGTCCTCTTGAGTTGAATATGAAATATGCTCCATCTAATGGCGTTCCTCTACCAGATCCCACCTTATATCGTACTAGACCATTTATTTCTTATGTTGTTCATGTTGTTAGTCAATTTGTTGTCTCTCCTACTACAGTGCATTGGGCAACCGTTCTTCGCATATATCGTTATATTCAGGGAACCCGGTTTTAGAGCCTTCTCTTTCCCTTATCATCCTCATTAGAACTACGTGCTTATTTGGATGCCGATTGGGCTGGTGACCCCACAGATCGTAAGTCTACCACAAGATTTTGTATCTTTCTTGGAGACTCTCTTATTTCTTGGAAGATTAAGAAACAAGATATTATCTCTCGTTCTTCTACAGAAGTTGTGTAGTATGATTGTTTCATCTTTTCAATTATCTAAACACTTGGTAGAGTGTTTGAGTGAAAGTGAGATGATTCTCATATTCATGGGTAGTATTAGGAAAGTGACATTGAATTGAGATAATTCAGAGTAAGTCAATTTGTTCTTCTGACTATTGAGAGTGGAATAACTCTATAAGGAGTCCTAAATAGAAATATACTATGGTAGAATTAAGAAGAGAGGCATTTAACATGATGCTTGTTCATTTAACACACTTTTTACTAATTCTATAAAGAGTGGATTTCATTTTTTGGATAGAGTTCCATCTAGATGTAGGTGTGGTTTCACCGAACAGGGTTACCAATTCTATTGTGTTACTTATTTGCCTTCTGAATTTATCATCTTGCTTGCAAACTATTTTTCTAGTATACAATGTCCCAAACATTTGGTCTGACAATTGTCCCTAGAATTTGTCATCTATCATAAACCAATTGTACATGTTGTCCCAGGCATCTGGTTCAACATTTTCCCCTGCCTGAACATAATTTCAAATTTCATCTAATAGATGGTATGGTTGGTGATTCATTTGGAGTGAATATGGCTTATGATAGAATGACAAAATGCAAATTTGTTTATCAATTGTTGAAATAAATAATCACATCATTGTTTGAGAGTTCTTCCAACTCTATATTATCAATGTGGTTTAGAATCTTAGCTTCCAATCAAAGTGGAGTATTCCTGATATGTTCTTGGAATTATTTGCGAAAATAATGTTGAATACACCTCTCGTGAAAGATAACATTCCTACAAGTTATTATAATGTGAAGATGTTGTTGTCGTAGTTGAGACTAGAAATTAAAAGATTTATTTTTGTATTGGAGGTTATATGTTGTTTTATGAAAATGATTTTTATACAAATGATAGAGCATTCAAGAATGCAACTTTTAGCGTAGCCTAAGGTATCTTGTTCACAGTAAAGTCATTGATCGAAAGCAAAGACTAGTTGTTGTGAAGTCCATATGTTTTCTACCAATAATACCAATATAGAATATAATATTTCATTAATGCATAATACAAGTCAAATGACAAGCAATCATACAAATTAAACTAGTTCGAGCATGATGAAACATCTATCTAATGGTATAGAATTGAAACACTTTGATCGGTTACATCCCAAATTTGTTGTAGACTCTAAAAATATAAGACTAGAGTTATGCTTTGATGATTTTAATATGTATATCCAGGAATCATCAATTGCATATTCTTGTTATACATACATTTCTACCCCTATAATCTCCATCCTAAGATGTGCATGATAAAACCTTACATGTTTTTTAGTAACCATATCCCAAGGCCGTCGATTCTGAGATTCATAATTGAAGTTATCTATTTATAACCTCTGACTAATGATTTAAAAAGTTTGTGGAGCAGAGAATGAACTTACGATATATATCATCAACAAAACTTTATTGTGTGAGATGCTTCAATGTGGATTTTAATGATTTTCCCGCATATGCCATGTAGTCTGATTTGGGGATACATGGTAAAATGGGATTTCTGCATTCAATGAAACACATAAATTCCTTGCTTTGAAAAAGGTGGTAAAAGTTTGTGGTTTGAATATCACAACATGTTCCTACCCGAAAACCATGTGTTTAGGAGAAACACAAATGCTTTCAAAAAAATGAAAAAAAGTAACAAATGAGTTGCCCCTCGGTTGTAACTGACAGAAGTTTGGGATAGAGTTTTTGAACTATCAAAATTTATATATTATGGAAAAACATTCAGAATCGAGGACTGGGACAAACACAATTGGACAAAAATAAGTATTTTTAGGGGATTTTCTTGCTAAAATGATATTTTTTGTGACATAACATTAATGTTATGGACATTGAGAAGAAAAACATTTTTGATAATATAATTAAAACAGTGATGGATGTTCAATACAAAAAAAAAGATAATGATACAACTAGAAAGAACTTAGAAATTTTGTGTAATAGAAAAGACTTTGTTAGTTCTATATTTTATGATTGGCATTCATTTTAGTAAAACAAATATGGCAGCAGTATGTTAAATATGAAGTTCCAACTTGTTGAGAAAAACATGTTGAGTAAGAAGTCCTATTTTATGAAGAAACATGTTGAGATGAGATGTTTCATCAACTAGAGCAACATGTCAGACAAGATGTCCTACACTTAGTCATTCGACATCGTTATTGTGTTGGGCTGGGCTATTGGATCAGTTTAAGATTTAACACATGCAAAATATTATGAGAATATTATGCTATACTATGTGGCACTGAGTTTAAGATGAAATCAATAAGAATATTGACTTTCTAATTATGGCGATAAATTAGGAAAGTCATGATTGAATACCTATCTTTATGCAAAAGATTCTACAGATTTGTAGCAGCTGGTATGCTGTGATTTGAAGTCCAAAATCTAGTTGGGTAAAGGGTTATAAATAGAAAGTTTTTAACCTAGAAGAATTAAGTCATGAATATAAAGATGTAATCTATTAGGGCTTAATTTATGTGCCACTCTCTAGGAGAGTTGGTCTGTATTATTTGTGA